CAGAATAAGAGCCAGATTTTTGGCCCTCTCTACTCAATGAATTCTTTGCACAGTATTTCCTGTTTTGAGACCCAGAGCCTTGCCAGTTTTGGTGCCTCTTTTTTTCCCTTGCAAAAGTAGAAAAACTAATTCATACCCATGCCTATTGTTGAGGGTAACCTCCCGCCCTTCCCTATCTGGATGACTTATCAGAGCTACTGGGAAGCTTTCTAGCCCAGCAGCACTTGAGCAGAGACCCTAAAAGTGGCTCTTCCCATTTGCAGAGGCAGCCAGTGGTCCTGTCTGGCCATTGAACTTGATGTGAATTTCTGCCTGATTTGGTCCAAAATAACAAGTCTTGCCAGCCTTCAGGCATGTTCTATGATCCCACACTGGCAAATAAGATAATTGCCAGCCGAACTCACTGATTGATACAGTATTCAGCCTGCCTGACCAGGAAACCAAAGCAGAACATCCAGGGAGCTATGTAGCCCATCCTACAGCCTTGATTACAGTGGCACATGAGCAGAGAACTGAGCCAGCCAGTCTGCTTATCCTTAGAGCAAAACTGGTGGCCCTGTCTGGACAGGGAACTTAGGCCGCAGTTTTGCCAGATTAAGATGCCCCCAACAGAGCCATGCCATCTGTGGAGCACATTCTGCCACCCACCCTGCCCAGGCCATAAAGCCAGTTCATAGTGCTTCCTACTGCTGAGTATAGTACCTAGTCATGCTTGACAAGCAAACCTGACCAGAAAGTCCAGGCAAATGAAGAGCCCATACTTCAGGACTCAAATCAATGGAAACAATCAAGACTAAATTAGGAAGAAACAAACAAAATAAAAAATCTGAACAGCTCAATAACAAGTAAGAGGATTGAAGCAACCATGAAAAATCACTGAACAATTAAAAGCCCTAGTAGGTTGTATGTTTCTAGGAATGTGTCCATTTCCACCAGGTTGTCCACTTCATTGACATATAGTTTTCCGTAGTAATATCTTAAGACACTTTGTATTTTTGTGGTATTAATTGTAATGTCTACCCTTTCATTAGTTACTTTGTTGATTTCAGTCCTCTCTTTTTCTTGGTTATTCTAGCTAGAGGATTATCAACTTTGTTTGTCTTTTCAAAGAATCAACTCAGTTTTCTTAATCTTTTCTTTTACTTTTCTCTATTATATTTATTTCTGTTCAAATATTTATTGTTTCTTTGCTTCTGCTAATATTGGGCTCAGTTTTTTCTTCTTTGTTTAGTTCATTTAGACAAAAATTTAGGTTATTTAAGTTAGGTTATTTGAGGTCTTTGTATTTTCTTGATGAGTGTGTTTATACGTCTGACTCCCCTCTTAAAATTGCTTAGGATTTATTTCATAAGTTGATATGTTGTGTTTCCATTTTTATTTGTCTCGCTACACTTTTTATTTCCCTGTTAATTTCTTATTTGATCCATTGGTTGTTCAGCAGTGTATTGTTTAATTTCCATATATTTGTGAATTTTCCAGCTCTCCTCCTGCATTGATTTCTTGTTTCATACCAAAGTGCTCTATAAAGATACTTGATATAAATTATATCTTCTTAATTTTGTTTGGACTTGTTTGTGGCATCATATATGACTTATCCTAAAAGATGTTCCATGTGTACTTCTGAAGAATTTGTTTTCTGTTTCTGTTAGATAGAATGTTCTGTATATGATTGTTAGGTCCATTTGATCTATAGTGTTACTCAAATCTCCTGTTTATTAATGATACTCTGTCTAGATAATCTAGCTACTGTTGATAGTGGGGTATAAACATCACCAACTATCATCGTCTCACTGATTACTTCTCCCTTTTTTTTTTCTGTATTTGCTTTATATATTTAGGAGTTCCAATGTTGAGTGCATAAATATTTATGTTTGTTATATTTTCTTGAAGGATTTCTCTTTTTATTATTGTATAATAACCTTATATATCTGCTTTATTTTTTTTTTTTCTACCATTTTTAGATTTAAAGTCTATTTTGGGTGATATAAGCACTCCTACTGACTTTTTTTGGATATCAGTTGCAGAACATATCTATTTTATTTTCCTTCACTCTCAGTCTACATGCATCTTTAAAGTGAAAGTGAGTCTCTTGAAGCCATCACCCAATGGATCTTGTTTTTCTCGGTTGTTCAACCAATTAATTTATTTTGATTGAAGAGTTTAATCCATTTATGTTTACTGTAATTATTAATAGGCCAGGGCATAGTATTTCCATCTTGTTGTTTGGCTATTAGATCTGTTGTTTCTTGCTTGTTATCTTACAGTACGTTTTTTGTGATTTTTGTAGTAGTATGCTTTGACTCATTGTCACAATCTTTTGTATGACCACTGCAAGTGTTTTCCTTTGTGGTTCTATGAGGCTTACATGAAACATATTTATAGCACTCTCTTTTAAGCTGATAACTCAAAATTGATAGCATTCAAAAACTTGACACTTTAATTTCCCCCTCACATTTTAGATTATTGATATTAAAATGTGCATATATTTGCATGTTGTGCATCCAATAACATATTATTGTAATCATTGTTATGTTTTAATAGGTTTTTTTAACTTTGAAGCAGAGTTGTTAGTGTATAATGTGCCACCACTTAAATATTAGAAAATCTGACTTCAACCATATATTTATATTTAATAGGGAGTTTAATACCTATTTTCATATGCTTTTCCAATGTTAATTGGAATACTTTTATTTCTACTAGAAGATCGTCCTATAGAATTTCTTCTTTGGCAACCCTAGCAACAATAAATTCCCTGAGCATTTGTTTGTGAGGAAAATCTTTTTCTCATCTTCATTTCTGCAGGATAGTTATGCAGAGTATAGTATTATTGATTAAGTTTTTTTCTTTCAACATTTTGAATATACCATCGCATTCTCTCCTGCCCTGAAAAGTTTCTGATGAGAAATCCGCCAATAATCTTATGGGGGTTACATTATATAAGACATGACACTTTTCCTTGCTGCTTCCAGAAATATTCTCTTTTTCTTTGAATTTGACAATTGACCTATAATGTGTCTGTGTAGCCCTTTTTGGGTTCAACTTATTTAGGGCCATTGTGCCTTATGAATCTGGATGTACGTTTCTCTCCCCAGGTTTGGGAAGTTGTCAGCCCTTGTTGCTTTAAACATATGTTCTATCCCTTTCACTTTCTCTTCTCCTACTGGGTTTCCCACGATGTGGATATTGTTTCTCTCTGTAGTATCCCGTACATTCAGTGGGCTTTTTTCACTACTTTTCTTTCTTTTTCTTTTTGCTCTTCTGACTGGAAAATTTTAAAAGCCCTGTCTTCTAGGTCATTGATTTTTTTCTTCTGCATGGTTGAGTCAGATATTGAAGCTCTCTATTGAATTCTTCAGTTCAGTCATTGTATTCTTCAGTTCTATAATTTCTGCTTTTTTTATGATTTCTCTGCCTTTTTTGGACTTCTCATTTTTTTCACTATATTATTTTCTCAATATTGTTTGGTTGGCTGTGTGTCCTTGTCTTCAACAAACTTCTTTAAGAACATTATTCTGAATTCTTTGTCAGACAGTTTATAAATGTGTATTTTTTCAGGGTCAGTTATTGGAGCTTTATTAGTTTCCTTTTATGATTTCATGTTTGCAGTTATTTTGTGATCTTTGGCCCCTTACAATGGTATCTATGCATTTGAGCAGCAGTCTCCACTTTTACACTTACATGTTTGTTTTGGCAGAAATAGTCCTTTAAAGTCAGCTCAGCTTTTGAGGTTCTTCATGGGTCATCTGGTAGCACTTTTGGTCCAGTGGAGCTTGCTGTCAGGGTCTATTTTGAGGTGAGGCTACTGCCTAGGATTTGAGTTGAGAGGACACTGCTGGCTGGAAGCAACTTGACAGGTCCACTGGCTAGATTCCCTTTCTGAAAGTGGCTTTAGGAAGAGCACCATAGTTCCCTGGATTCTCTGGTCAGGCTTCCTTTTGGGGCTGGGCTGGGTATACAATCAGCAGTAAGAAAGACTCTAAATTAGCTACCTTGCTTGGGTGAGATGTAGTAAACAGGCTCCAAAGCAAGCAAAGCTCACTGTTTGAAGTTCTGAATCAGGCATAACAGTGCACCAAGCACCCTGGCCAGACAAGGTCCCAAGACTGGCTCTGCAGATGACCATAACCAATAGCCAGGCTCTCTGCTCAAGTGTTACTGTGCCATGCAGCTTACTGGGTGCTCTGCCAGGTTTCTTGGTTGGAGCCGGGCTGAGGACTGTACCCTACATAAAATAGGGCTGTGAATTAACTTCCAGTCCTGGGCTAAGTGGCAGAACAGGCTCCAAATTCTTGTTTGTGGTCTTAAATCAGCCAGAGCTGCACACCAAATTCCCTGGATAGACAGGGCCACAATTCTGGCTCTTTATTCAGGAAGTACCATAGGTTGGGCTCTCTGCTTTTCCAGTGCTGCTGGGCTACACAGCTTTCCAAGTGCTACAACCAGGCTTCTTTGTCATGTAGGGCCAGGAATATACACTCAGCAGTAATTGGAGCTGGGATTAGTTTCCATAAATCAATGGGGTGGAAGAACAGGCTTCAAGACCCAAAAGGCTCACCTTTGCAGACCCAAATAAAGCAGAAATGCCAATCAACTTGCTTCATCAGGCAGAGCTACCATCTCTCTCTGCAAATGTGCATAGCCACTGGTTAGGATTTATATTTATGCATCACTGTGAGTAGGAATTCAGTTTGACAAGATCCAAGTGCTACTTGAGGCATCACTTCCCTTCTCCATCACAAGCTGATATCCAGTGGTCAAACCCTGCTGATTGCCTCCATGATCTTCATGAGATAGGGTGGAAAGGGCCTGCTGATAAGAGACCCATGATAGTGGGGGAGAATACATGTCTACTTTGGGTTTCTTTTTACTACTGAGGAAATCATATGCCCAGAAGGGTCCTCTCAGTGTGATGCCATACCAGCCTGGGGGAAGGGACAAAATGGTTGGAGTGTAGACTTTCATCCTACTCTTCTAATGTCATCTTTTTTTGTCTCTGTGGTTCAGGGTGGTTCTTCATCTCCACCTTCATGCTCTGGAGTCCTCACAATATTGTCTTCTCTGTGGATAGTTGCAAGTTGGTCTTGTGGAATGTCCTAAGGTCAGGAATAACCTTTGTCACAATTTTTATGAATTCATGTCCACCCCTTGTTAGAGTTCTTAAAAATGGTGAGTGAAGGTGATATAAGTTAGAGTTCATGGAGAAGATAAAAGTTCTTATTCTATCTTGCACTTACTGGTATATAAAATGTATCAGTACACTCCTATCAAATTAGTAAATATGTTTTACTTTCATTTTCTGCAAAGATAGTATGTGCTATTCTTTAGTTTTGAATATATTTTTTAAATTTCCTGTAACCCATCTTATAACTGCATCCTCAGAAAGAAAACTTCATCATTGATGAAATGATTGAATGTCAGTTTTGGATGGGATACTCTTTTTGGAATCCAAACACCAAATTTTAAATGGAAAATTAAATCATATTGATGGTAGGCCTCACATTTAATTGCTGATGGAAATATTACAAGATATGAAATACAAGGATGTATACATAGTCCCTTTCTCAAGAAATTCACCATGAGAAAGTTAGAGAATGATATCATCATGATATAGTTACAGACATACTCATGGTTACATTCTGTTCAAGGGGAAGGGCATCTAATCTTGTCATGGGTCACTAGAGAGAAGAGGAAAAGGGTGTGGAGTAAGCAGACATTAGGAAGCAACACTATGTATAATGAAAAAACTAAGTGTAGACCTTGGAGATGACTCAATTTAAGAGTTATGAAAATATCCTAGGCAAGCTAATAGGATAGAAACTCTCAACTCAACATTTTACATATTCAATCTTTATTTAAAGGAAAAAGTAGTAACTACAGTGGGCTAAATATATAGAAAGATGGTTACTAAGGTACAAAATTCATTTTATTAAAGAAAAATTTATCTCTGATCTCATATTTCCATTTTACTAAAATATAAAAGGAAACAATGCAAACAAGAATGCAACAAAGTCAAAAGTTAATTAAAACCTTGTTTCTTATGTTGACTCCCATGGGCGACCCCTCCTCTCTGACTTTACACCACTACTTACCTACACAACATGACAAGTGACATTTTTGTTCTGCATTCAGTATTCTTCATGGTAGATATCCTGATGAATACAGTATTCTCTCCATTATAAAATAATTATATTCATATTATTATAGCCACTTACATTGACATCCTAGATACCTGCCCAGCTCTTGGTCATGTTTAAGTATAATTTTACTACATTTCACAAAATTAGAGATAATTTTATGGAAATACATTTGTTGTATAACCTCTGTCTAGCTGTATTAAAAATAAAAACAATTCTTACAAATTTTTCAAATTTTGGTGGGAATAAGCCAGAAGACATTTGTCATCATTTACCTTGTATAAGAATCTTGGGTGATTGTAACTAGGATCTCAGAGGGAAGAGCACATCCTCTGAGGTATGTATTTACAAAGCAATCGCATGTGAAAACTTTATCAAAAGTTTGGAGATATCCACTTCTTTCCATACTTAGAGAGATGGAGACTTTAATTTTCTTCTCAGGAGAAACTAATGATGGATTTCTTCTAGGTATTGAATATAGAAATACATAAAACACACAGATCAAGCATTTGTTTCTATTTTTATGCATAAAGTTATTTTTAAGCATATTTTTTTGAGGATTTTTTAAAATTTTTTTCCATTTTCTCCCCAAAGCCCCCCAGTACATCGTTGTATATTCTCCATTGTGGGTCGTTCTAGTTGTGGCATGTGGGACACTGCTTCAGTGTGGTTTGATGAGCAGTGCCATGCCCGTGCCCAGGATTCCAGCTGACGAAACACTGGGCCACCTGCAGCGGATCACCTGAACTTAACCACTCAGCCACCAGGCCAGCCCCTTAAGCATATTTTTCATTGCCCCCAAAACATCTTTATTCCTAAAGCTGTAGATAATTGGGTTGAGTGTGGGAGTGACGATGGTATAGAATATGGCCAGGAATTTATCCTGGCCTGGAGTGTGGTATGACTTAGGTCCCATATATGTGAAAATAAATGGCCCATAGTACATTATGACCACAATCATGTGGAAAAAGCAGGTGGAAAACAGCTTTTTCTGTGCTTCAGATGATTTCTTTTGGAGGACAGTAAGGAGAACTTGGACATAAGAAGCAAAGATTAGGGAAAAAGGGATGAGCAGAAAAATGATGCCACTTACATAAACTCCTCGTTCACAGTGTGTTGTGTCCACACAGGACAATTTCAACATTGCAGGGACTTCACAGAAAAAGTGATCAATAGCTCTTGAGCCACAGAAAGGAAGCTGGAGTGTGTAAGCTGTGTGAACTATGGAGTTGACAGTCCCGACAAGCCAGGACCCTGTAGCCATGAGACTGCTGACATAGTCATTCATAAGAATGGGATAGCGCAGTGGGTGACAGATGGCTACATAGCAATCATAGGACATTGCTGCCAGGAGAAGGCACTCACCACCCAAGAGGGTGATGGATAGAAATATCTGGAAGCCACAACCAGCAAAAGAAATAGTTCTGCTGCATAACATAAAGTTAGTGACCATTTTGGGAACAATATTGGAAATATGCAAGATATCCATATAAGAGAGATGGCTGAGCAGGAAATACATTGGAGTATGAAGCGGTGGGTCTCTGTGGATAAGGAGAATCATGACTGTATTTTGTGCTACAGTCATAATAAACATAATCAATATAAAGGAAAAGAAAAGCAGATTTGTTTTGGAAGAAAAGAATAGTCCCATCAAAATGAAGTCGCTGCTGTAAGTCTGATTCTCAAGTCCCATAATAAATTTTCCCATTATCTAAAAAAATAAAAATATAAATAAATAAGAGCAAAGGAATAAAAAGTATAGGAAGCCTCAAGCTCATTTCCATATATCTGCGTAATAAAAGAGAGCTAGTGATGCATAATTTGCCATGAAAGTCTAAGGACTCTCAACCAGCTTTAAGTGTGCATGTTCAAGAATATGTGCATTTATTTGTTTGAATCAGGTGATAATAATCATAATATTGAGTGGGCACCAGCTCTATGTAGAGTCACAAACTCTTGATTCCATATTCTTTTCTCAAGTCCAGTCTTTTCCCAAATGTCACCTTCTCCAAGAGCTCTACCCCTGAATACACTGTTTTAATCACGACGCTCCCATGAAAAACACCAGTTTCATGGCCCTCCTTACTGTGCTCATTTTTCCTTTTGCAAAGCACTTTTAACCTTTCAGCATATTTAATAATAAAGTTATGAACTATATTTTTTCTTTATTGTCATCTCACTCACCAGAATTTAATCTTGATGATGGCGGATCTTTATTTTGTTCACTGCAAAAAAACAAATGCCTGGAACAGTGGCTGGCAATAATATTTGTGAAATGCAGGAATAAATAAATGGGCCATGGAACTTCATTTTCTCATGCAATATTTATTTGGATAAAACTTAAAGAAAATGGAATGTATTGTTTCTAAGTCTATTCAAAAAATAATAATAATGAAGCACTGTAAATCAATTTAACTTTATATTGATAACTTGAAACATCTCTTATATTTTAAATCTAAAAAAAGGAATATTTAATTCATTCAAAATCAATAGTCATAAGAATTTTTGTCAGTTTTATTAACTTATGGAAATTAAACTATATTTTATTAATTCTTTCTGAGGAATCATATATGCTAACAATATCATTTTTACATGGGTAGTGTTTACTTCAATATTTGCTTTATAATTATTTCTGCAAATTTGGTTTCTATGATCTATCCTTCAGTATGAATAAAAGCCAAGAGTTTTTTGGATGTAAGATTCTTTCAAAGAAACTTTTACTGTGTAATTTAAGATTTTGTGTCTTTATATATATGCAAAGTATTGGGCCCGCCCAGTGGCATAGCAGTTAAGTTCATGCACTCTGCTTCAGCAGCCCAAGGTTTGCTACTTTGGATCCCAGGTGTGGACCTATGCACGCTTATCAAGCCATACTATGTCAGGTGTCCCACATATAAAGTAGAGGAAGGTGGGCATGGATGTTAGCTCAGGGCCAAGCTTCCTCAGAAAAAAAGGAAGAAAAGTATATATATGCAAAGTGTTTACCACTTGAAAGAAGAAATCAATGATTTCAGTCAGTCATTTCAGTGCAAAAATTAACCTTTGTTCACTAATTATTTTCTACATGAACTTTTTTGAGCCTAAAGTTGCCACTTTATTTTATGGCAACTTAGACTGTGGTTAAGAGAATGAAACAGAGTAACATTGTAATAAATCATGTAGGCCATTTCATATTAAGAAAATTTAATGTAAATAAAATAATAGTCCATAACTATGTTTTCTAGGCATATCCCACCCCATTCAAGCAATAACCACTTCTGAATAAAGTATGTGTGCTAAGATGTACACCCATATCAAAAAAGATTTCATTTATGGATAGGCTATGTGAGACCCTAAATTAATTTCACCAGGAATCCAGCTAGTTTGCACAAGTAGCCAAATTTTTTAGTTTTGTTTATTAAACTCGTTAGGACTTCATAGGTTTATTCCAATTAGTGAACCACACTCTTTTTATCTGGTTATTATTCAAATGGTCCATTGATTTCACCCCTGCTTGAAATTGCTTTCTAGCTGTAGTCATATTCCAATCTTTTCTTCCCTAAAAAAAAATAGTCCTAATGTATCAATTAGTCAATGATTGCAATGCACTCATGCATTAATTCTGACTTAACTAGATTGAAATATATTATTTTGCATCTGTCCCAGATATCTCTTTACACAAATAATGAATTCAGAATTTTTTGGAATTTAGATTTAACTAGAGGTGAACCATTTACTAATATTGGTAAGGGTACACATTAATAGATTAAACAATTACTGATATGCTCCTATGTTATGTCTTTATATTAAGTTTTGACTGTGACAAATAAAAGAGAAAAACATCAAATCAATTCTTAATGAAAAATATTTACTTTGAAAAGTATTTGTATGAAAATCCCAGAGAACATTAAATCTGATGTGTACTTATATTTTACACAAATGACAACACCATTTTTATTTTTTAAAGTTTTATAAAACATCTGAAATATAAGTTATCTACTTGATATAATATAAGTTCTGTCATAAAAATTTTGAATATCAGACTTACTGGGTAGGTTAGCAGTTGATTCGAATTAATTGTTTTTAATTGATAATTGACTCAAATGCAATGGAATTTCATGGGAGAGGCAGAGGTTAACTGAATTTTCCTAAATATACAGGAAATAATATCATGACTTATATAAATGTGTTGATAAGGAATATGAGTATAATTGATGTGTGGGATAGATATTAACTAATCCAGAAATGAGTGTGCTATGAACACAATTATATTTAAAAAGTAGCAATATACATTAAAACTTTCCTAATGAGTTGAAAAGACATAAGCAAGAAAACAATGCAAATACAGTATTCTGAATACATTTCATTTTTTGTCCTATCTGTATACAAAACACTAATCAGACATGAAACTATCCGAAATGAATTTCTATCAAGTAAGAAAGATAACAGGACCTGCTTCAGAGGTATTTTTTGAATATTACATAAGACACATTAAAGACACATGCACATAAACCCACATGCATACATGTACATGCACACACACACATGCACAGACACATAGAACAGAGCCTAGCACATTGGAAGTACTCAGAAACAGTGATTATTATTGTTTTCTGATTATTATTATTGTTTCTATTTTTACTCTATTAGTATATCTGTTATTACTATACCACTATTTTTTTCAAGTTTTAAGTATGTGTTTAAACTATTCTATACTAGAGAGACAGAGAGATAGAAAGAGATAATGTGAGACAGAAAGAGACACAGAGAAAGAGAAAGCACAAGAAAGATCCAGGATATAACAGAATACAACTGAGTGAAGTGCATTTAATGTGGTGAATCAGAAATATAATTGTACTCGCTTTTTGGTAAAATAAAATAGGTGCATAAGGCTCTTTGGTGGAGTAAACAGCTCAGCATGTTGAATAAGAATATGTGATTGGGCACATTACCAATATACACACACAGATGGGTGAGAGAGCAAAGCAATGCTTGTTATTCTGAAAGCAATTGGCTGAGCTGCACACAACTGCATTTTATGCTAGCCTTTTGATCTTTTCATTAACCGTGTTTTTCCCTTCTGACTTTTAAGGGCACTACATCATATCCAAAAAATTGTTGCACAGTGGTCTTACGTCTAGCCTGTGTTGCTACCACTTCAATTTAAGATAATCCTGTAATTTGTGCCTCAGAGTGACATCAAATTCATCATTCCCAACACTGAACTACTCAAGTAAGTCCCCCCAAATAGTGAATGGTACCACCATGTACAATTACCCAAGCCAGAAATCAGAAAACCTTCCTAACTCTCTTTATCTCTGCTTTTTACCATCCACAAATCACCATCTGATACCTGTTCTATCTATGTCAGTGCTTCTCTTTGGTATTCCCTCTATGGAGGTACATACCTTGTGTGGCTGTGGCAGCTCTAAAGCATCCCTTCTATCCTCCTCTTTCAAGTGAACAGACTTGTATGGGTTCAGCACCACTTATATGCTTTCATACACTTCTCAGTTCTCTTTGAAGCCAGTGGAATGTGGCCAACTGACAAAACCTTGAACAAAGAAAACAGAAGAGGAGTGGAACTGGAGACACCCCCTTCTTAATCTTTCAACCTGCTAGTTAACATCTGCAAATGAAGATGTGTGGTCCTGCATTCTTCCCTGCAAGAACTGGATAGGGAACAAACTCCAGGTAGTCTAGAGAAGGAAGCTGTGAGCCACAGGGTAATGTCTTATTCATCACGAAAATGTGGAGTCGTTAATGAGAAATAACTCACCAAAATTGTTCAAAGAAAATGATCTAGAATGGGCAGAAGCAGGAAATTTCTCTGTGATGGGGGAGAAACTGTCGTCAATTTCTCCAGAGTGACTGAGAGGTATGGAGTGATGCCTCAGTCCAGGTAGTCAGAGCAAATTATCTGAAGACTTACAGAGAGAAGGGGCACAAATGGTTTTGGAGGAGCAAGGAGAAATATGGAGGGCAGTTACCACTTTGAAGTTGTGCAGATTATGGCTTCTCAGAGAGAAATGACCCACTCTTTGATAAGAAGACATGGGGAACCATGTCTCCAGGGGAAATCCAGAGAAGGAAGTGAAGGTAACAGACAGTAATCTCTTGTGTAGAGGCAGGTGCGGGCACTGAGACAGGTCAGGTATTCTTCAGGGTGCAATGAAAGAGTCCTGGTGTCAAGGAGAGAAGAGATAGTCTCTATCAACATTGACTAAACAAAGTGAGATTAAACTTTTATTGAGCAAAAGAAACTTCCTTCTCTGACTCCTTTTCCATCATTCCCTCTTTACATAGCATATTTTATTTCCACTCTTCAGGACCTGATAATGCACCATCTGTCAAAGATTTTGTTTATGACATTCCTCTGACACTAGATGGAAACTCCAGGGAATGCCACTTAGTGGACCTCACTTGCTGCCACGTCAGCTCTCCTGGGTATTTGCAGTTAATGGATGAAGCTAATTATTCTACAGACTGCATATTACAGAGAGGCAGATAAAAAAGATAGAATTACATATCTTAGAGATTCTCTTCTTTTCATTTTTGATAGATTTATGAGTCAATTAAATGATCACCAAAAAAACTGCATATGTAAAAGAATGTAGCAAAAGTCATTCCAATAATTTACTTGTTTTCTATGACAGCTAAGCCTTATGAAGCATTTTTACATATCAGGAGAGATTTTAAGTGTCTTGCCTTTAT